ATTCTCAGCTTCTTTGTTTGTAATCGCAGGTCGTGTAGCTACGTCTCATTATACACACAAGGGAGGAGGATCCAACTACTTGTGCTTGCCTGAAAACCCATTTATTTGCATAATATGCTAATATATTATATGAAATTCCCGCCTAAAAAATTCTCAGCTTCTTTGTTTGTAATCGCAGGTCGTGTAGCTGCGTCTCATTATACACACAAGGGAGGAGGATCCAACTACTTGTGCTTGCCTGAAAACCCATTTTACAGCAACATGGGGAACATCAGTGAAGACAAAAGTGCGCACCTTTATCCCGTCAAATACGGTGATATTATGGACATATTTAACAAAGCTCCGCCCAAGGTATTAAAATCGCATGCTCCAGAGATTCAAAAGAAAATGACCGCTTCATTTCACTTTATGGACGTTCCGTGCGCCGTATGTGGAGTAGACGGTGCGACCACGGTACTGATGATACCCGCTCGTAATGTCTGTCCATTTAGATGGGAGCGACAGTACCATGGTTATTTGATGTCCCAGAAACACGATTACGGGAAGTCTGAATTTATATGTGTTGATGTTGAAGCCGAAGGAATACCAAACACGCGCAACCCTAACGGAGATGCTTTTCTACATTTGACTGAATTCAAGTGCGGTTCATCGTCGTATAGAGGTTACCAACAGCACAAGGCTCTATCGTGTTCTGTCTGCACCACGTGATCAGAGCTACTTTTATTTCTGCGCAAACTGAATTTCGCGCTGCCCTGGGCTCAGGTCAAACGTTGAACTTCCCATGAGCCGAACTAATTGGAACAATGGATAACAAGGCGGTCTTCTTTGATGTCATTAGGTTCAGCTCATGTGAAGTTAGACGTTTGACATGAGCCTTATATTCTATTCTAATATATCATTCTAATATATTAATATTATTTTATATAAGAATATACATTAAAGCGAAATCAACATAGTTTCTGAAAATTCATTTAAATTTGTCCATGTTTAGTTTGGAACACACACAAAAAAACTTCTACTTTCTATCATTGATTGTAAAAACCTGCCTTATCTATATTTCTCCAAGTAAAATCTACCAGCAAAGCATAACAATGCCGTCCATCGAGTCCTAAAATTAATGAAATGAACGAAAAAAACGTTTTGCGCGATATTTTCGAGAATAATGAAGAGCAAAGAGTTTAAAATAAAGAACCCCATCCCTAGGAACAATTTTGTCCGAGCCTTTTGCGGTGTAAAATACAGCGAATTCGTTTTGATGTTGTTGTGTAGAGAGTTGCTTACCTCGTTGACATATTTCAACACATGCCGGCGATCAATGGGGAATCATATACGTTAAAAAGGCCCATACTGGGTCTGTGGGTGTGTGAGCCAGCATATTCCCAGATCAGGAGCCCATTCCTAGGGGTATCCATGTCCCATACTGGGTGTGTGAGCTAGCATATTCCCAGATCAGGAGCCAATTACTAGAAGCATCCATCTCCCATCCTGGGTCTATGAACCAGCATATTCCCAGACCAGGAGCCCATTACTAGAAGCATCCATGTCCCATACTGGGTCTGTGAGCCAACATATTCCCAGATCAGGAGCCCATTACTAGAAGCATCCACTTCCCATACTGGGTCTGTGAGCCAACATATTCCCAGATCATGAGCCCATTACTAGGAGCATCCATCTCCCATACTGGGTCTGTGAGCCAACATATTCCCAGATCAGGAGCCCATTACTAGGAGCATCCATCTCCCATACTGGGTCTGTGAGCCAACATATTCTCAGATCAGGAGCCCATTACTAGGAGCATCCATCTCCCATACTGGGTCTGTGAGNAGCATCCATCTCCCATACTGGGTCTGTGAGCCAACATATTCTCAGATCAGGAGCCCATTACTAGGAGCATCCATCTCCCATACTGGGTCTGTGAGTCAGCATATTCCCAGGTCAGGAATTACCCATCATTGTTACTGTTACTTGCCTTCATTTACACCACGTCTTACAATACTTCCCGTCTTACAGCCTTGCTACCATTATGTCTTCATATACACCATGTGTCTTACAATACCTCCTGTCTTGCAGCCTTGATACTTTTATTTGCTTTCATATACACCATGTCTTACAATACTTCCTATCTTACAGCCTTGTTACTATCGAAGTGAATCTTGATTTTATTTGTTATACATGTTCGTTCTGTTGAATATAAAAGCTTCACAAAAAATTTCCAACCTTTTCAGCGTAATCTTAAAACGCCAGGCCAAAAACTTTTAAAGAATTTTAAACCCCTAGCTTTCCAAACATAAGTTAAGCCTTTCTCGCAAACAAGTACCACAAAAATATACATCAGTGATATACAATATCTTGTTCTGACTTTTTTAGTTTCTTCTTAAGCACTGATACCCAGGCTCTTACCGTCAGCCAATGTCCGGGAGAACACTGGATCTGACCTTCGAAGTGCATGGCGGTTAGAACCCCGTGTGTATCGTCTGATGGCTTCTCTAACGTCACCATGACGTCATATTTTCGTAAAATAGGGGTAATTGTCAGTGATATAGTTTTAAAGAATATTTCATGGTTAAATAAAATGATCGTTGCGCGGAATTGTTTCTTAATATCCGCAAAATCAGCTGCAGGCTTTTCGATGGAAAATGTAGGGAGGGTCCACCTTTTGCGCTAGCTCTGATCACTCGGTGCAGACAGAACATGATAGGGCCTTGTGCTGTTGGTAACCTCTACACGACGGTGAACCGCACTTGAATTCAGTCAAATGTAGAAAAGCATCTCCGTTAGGGTTGCGCGTGTTTGGTATTCCTTCGGCTTCAACATCAACACATATAAATTCTGACTTCCCGTAATCGTGTTTCTGGGACATCAAATAACCATGGTACTGTCGGTCCCCAGTCCGTGGACAGACATTACGTGCGGGTATCATCAGTACCGACGTCGCACCGTCTACTCGACATACGGCGCACGGAACGTCCATAAAGTCAAATGAAGCGGTTAATCTTTTCTGGTCAGCTGGAGAAAAATTTTTTAATACGTTTGGCGAAAATTTGTAAAATGTGTTCATAACTTTGCCGTATTTAACAGGATAGAGGTGCGCACTTTGGTCTTCACTGATGTTCCCCTGGTTAGTGTATAATGCTCTTTCTGGCAAGCACAAGTAGTTGGATCCTCCTCCCTTGTGTGTATAATGAGATGCAGCTACACGACCTACGATTACAAACACAGAAGCTCAGAATAGACACCTTCACAGTTCCCTGCTGCATCTTGAAAGTTAGACGTGTCTTTGCATCGAACGTTTTTTAACACTTTGGACAATTATTCACGTCTTTATCATAACAAGCTCACCGTTCGCCTCCCTTGAATGCAAAGGCACGGCTATTCCTTTCAAGATGGCGTTGGGAACTGTGAAGTGGACTATTTGTCAGCGAAACACAGGTAACCCAACTAAGAATTTCGACTGCGAGAAGTCCCTTTATTTCCTTTCGTACTTCACTCCCGAGACCACTCCCCTGGGGATATTAGGGACTTTAAGAATAGCCCACTTCAGAGATACGCTTCGCTTGTCATGCTCAGTCATTCGTGACAAGAGAAAAGAATAACTTGAATTTAGCACTGAGCCTCCAACTGAAACCTTTTTACTTGACAAGCGAAGCGTATCTCGGAAGTGGGCTATTGCAAAGTCTATGAAGGCGACGTCAACCGGAAGTGTGAATAACTTCTCTTTGGGGTTCTGTTCATTGGAGATTTTGTTTAAAACATTGTCAGTAAAGTCAACTCATCCAAAAGAAAGACAGACAGACACCCGGACACTAAAGTGAAGTTATTTACACTTCCGGTTGACGTTACCGTCGTAGGTTTTGCAAATCTTAAAGTCCCTAGTAAACCAGTAACAAATATTCGATGTCATCTTCATACAGGAAACAATGATGCAAAGCAAAATTAAAAACTAAGCATCAGAGAGTATTCCTTTCTCAACAAAATTCCAATTCGATATGAGTTAGCTGTGCCCTTACTTCAATCAGTCCAAATGATGTTACTGCGTATCCGCCATAAAATTTAAAGCCTTTTTTAAAAGTATAAACTCAAGGAAATAATTAAAGTGCAAATGAACCCTTTGGCATTACTTTCAATACTGGTTCTGCATAAAGTAAATAGTTGATTGGTAAAATATTTCTTGATTTGAATGATGCGTCTCTAAGTTATGAAGGTTTATACTTCCAATATGTTAATGATGATGACGTCAGGTAAGGTATTTGAGTGTTTTTGTTGTAACTAGTAATACTAAATGCTGGCCATCTTGAAAATAAAAATTTTGAATAGCTTTCATGTAAACCATGAGTATAATAATGATGCTTTTTAAATACTGTATCTATGAACCAGTTCGATTTTGTATATTTAATTAAACCTTAATAGACGTCACACTCATTAGCATATTGGAAGTATAAACCTTCATAACTTAGAAACGCATCACTCAAATCAAGAAATATTTTACCATTCAACTATTTACTTCATGTAGAATCAATACTGAAAGTATTGTCGAAGGGTTCATTTGCATTTTAAAGCTGAGCTTTCTTCTACCTGAGTAAACAAGAGAAGTACGTGATTTGTTGCTCGTCCGACACTGCGTTCTTCCCCAGCGCGTGAACACTGTATTTCTACGACTGGTTTTTCTCTTAGTCGTTTGTTTCTTTCTTTGATCGGCTTGTTTACCGCTGCTGCTGCTTTTGCTGCTGTCACTTTGATTGTCCCGTCCCGAGGCCTCTTGTTTCGGGGTTTTCGGTTCTTTTGTTCCCATATTATTCTTTATTTTGTCTTTTGCTATAAGTAATGATAATAAGAAAAAAGATATTTCAAGATGGTCAGTTGTTTTGGAGGCTGGTAATGAGATTCATGCGATTCATTCAGCTGATTGATACCCAGCTGATAGAATACTCTCTGGTTGATAGCACATGACGGGCAGTGTTTGCCTGACATTGTAGGCTGGTAATGAGATTCATGAGATTCATTCAGCTGATTGATACCAAGCAATAGAATACTCTCTGGTTGATAGCACATGACGGGCAGTGTTTGCCTGTCTTTGTAGGCTGGTAATGAGATTCACGAGATTCATTCAGCTGATTGATATAAAATAATTGAATACTCTCTGGTTTATAGCACATGACGGGCAGTGTTTGCCTGTCATTGTAGGCTGGTAATGAGATTCATGAGATTCATTCAGGTGATTGATACCAAGCAATAGAATACTCTCTGGTTGATAGCACATGACGGGCAGAGTTACCCTGTCATTGTAGGCTGGTAATGAGATTCATGAGATTCATTCAGCTGATTGATAACAAGCAATAGAATACTCTCTGGTTGGGAGCACATGGCGTGCAGTGTTTGCCTGTCAACAGTACTCATGACAAAATGGTTGAATATCTTCCTGTTATTGGAGGTCGCCTACATCATTTTCCATGGCAACGGTAGCCATGACAACAGGATGGAATATCTCACCTGGTCTCATATCCAAATGTATACATCGTCGTCCTTCACTGTCGTTCGTTTTGTTGAGCGAAAGAAGACTGCATAAGATAAAAAAGACAAAGCCATATGAGTATTCTAGTAAGCTAGAAAAGAAGTAGAAATAAAATAGTGAGGCGAAAAGGAATATAGAAACGCCATTACGCAAGCAATTTGAACCCACGATGCTTAAACCGTTGAATAACCTCTTCCTATAAGTAAAACCCAAGTTATTTTTTAAACTTTATCAACAGCTTTTTCTTCGAGGGTTTTGTCTTGTTGAAGGTCTAAACTCGAATGCTTTTTTTTAAATAAAAGTTTGAAGAAAGGTCAAAAGGACCAGAAAGGGCTGTAAATTCGTTCATGTTAACTAAAGCCGCTACCAGCATAAAACAGAGGCACAAACAATTGACAATTCAGTGGAGTTTGAAGGCTTCAAAAGACTTCAAAGGCGTTCAAAATTTTCAAAACATTAAGCAGAAGAATATCTTCTTGGAAAACTCTATTCATAAACCTTATAAGCCTTGTCTGAAACTATCCTCTCCCCTCACTCTTCAAAATATGACACAAAGCTGTTAACAGCGAGGTCATGTTTTGTTAAATGTTTAGAAATGATTTCCTTTTACTAACCTCGCAAAAACGGTCGACAAAAAGCATCAATGTAATATTGATTCATAGCTTAATAATCTTTCTAGTAATACTAGGCTCTGTGGTAATGAGAAAAAAACTTTTTATATTGCATCAATGAAATTAAAACTAGGATGTCTCTTAATTCCATGAAAAGCTTTTTTATAATAATAGGCTGTGTAAAGTATAAAATTGGATTATCAAAAATGTAGATGGTTTAAAAGCAACATTAGTTACAGTTTTAATTTATTTTCTCCGAAAAAAAAAACCACACTTAAGAGATTTAATTATAAAGAATTTGTACATGACGAATTTCAGGCACCGCGACTCATAAATAGTTTTCCTAACAGGAACCAATCACAGAGCGAGTATACACGCATTATCCAATCACAGTGCTGCAATGCAGAAAGCCATTTGAGTTTCTATCTATGAGGAAGAACTTGAAGTACTATAGATTTTTTACTCGCTGGAACTCAGCAAAACAACAACAAAAAAAGCAAAACAACAACAAAAAAAGCAAAACAACGACAAAAAAGAACGCTATTAGTACCGTAGTTTTGTCTAACTTTTAAGAAATATTACAATGTAAACACTTTGATATTTCATAATATCATAGTTAATAAGGGGAATGCAATGACTCATTAACTTTAAAAGCAAAAAAAAAAAAAAGAAAGAAAAAAAGAAAGAAAAAAAAACTGTGAACGAAAACACAAAAGAAAATCTTAACATTACTAGTAAGAAATAAAATTAAAGTTTAAAACGCAGAAAAATAAAATTACTGTGGTATAAATATTCAGGTGGAATTTCGCAAAATTAAAAAGTTTTTTCTGTCTAGTTTGAGATGAATTTTCCATTATAGTTTAGAATCGTGTTTTTTAGAAATCTATTAAAAAAAAAAAAAAAAAAAAAAAAAAAGAAAAGAAAAGAAAAAACAACAACAAAAACACGAAGACAATTAATTTTAAAAATGAAGACACAAGTAG